ATGTGCCGTGGAGTCGGTTCCGACTCATAGTGACCCTGTACAGGGTTTCCAAGGCTGTAAATCTTTACGGGAGCAGAAAGCCTCATCTTTCTCCGGCGGAACAGCTGGTAGTTTCGAACTGCTGACCTTGCAGTTCGCAGCCCGATTTGTAACCACTACGCTACCAGAGAGCAGTTCAAAATGACCAGCTGCTCTGTGGGAGAAAGATGAGGCTTTCTGCTCCCGTAAAGATTTATAGCCTCCGAAACCCTGTACAGGGTCGCGATGAGTCGGAACCGCTATGAGGAAGAACACCTTAACCTTTGCGAGGCCCATTTTGCTATTCAGATAACAGGACAGAAAAGAATCGAGGATATTTGAAGTTTTTGTTTTTTCAAAAAAAATCTAAACCACACTTTCTAAATATAAAACCAATCAATTAGTCCAGCCTTGTTAAATGTACCTTCCTAAGTCCCCTCCGTAGTGTGGTGCTGTACGATAAGCACTGTATTGCTAACCTCAAGGTCGGCAGTTCAAATCCATCAGCCCCTCCTTGGAAACCCTATTCAGGGTTGCTATGAGTCGGAACCGACTGGACGGCACTTAACAAGTCCCCTCCATACCATAGAAAAATGTAAGTCTATTTCTGTCACCATTTTAATTGAATTATTTCTTCTTTAATAAATTGTGCTGACTTGCGTTTTTCTCCTTAAAAAACAAGAACGAAAGCTGTTGATAACTCTTAACATGCAGTAGCAACTTGCTGCGCCTGCGCAACCCCTGCGGGGTGGAAGTTCCACAAATCACCGGGACCACATCCGTTGGGGGCGGGCCCAAATTGCATGCTGGGATTGATCTAATCAGCTGGGTTCTAGGCTTTCGGAGGCTGTTACAGCTCCGGAGTGTTTCTCAGCGAACGCTTCTGCTAAAACAACCCGCGGTTCCGAGTCGTTTCCGGTGCCCGTACTCGACCACTCGGTGGGCGATGTCTTTGAACACCTACGGGAAACTTCTGCGGATTAGGATCCAAGCCGGACCGACCAGACTGTGGGGTCTGCGAGAGGCAGGCATTTAGAGTGAGGAACCACGGGCGCGGACCAGGTATGTGCGGCAATCTGAGATTTGTGTGTGCGTATGAGTCCTGGTGTGGAGATAGAGGGTAAGCACTGGACTACTAAGTGCAAGATCGGCGGTTCAAACCCACCAGTCGCTCCTTGGAAATCCTGTACAGGGTCGCTATGGTAGCGGAGCTATACAAGGAGCTCTGGTAGTGTTGTCGTTACAAATCGGGCTGTCACACCAAAGACCTTCTCCTGGAGGATGCAAGCGTTATTGCCGCACATGTATAGGGTGCCTTTGTGCTTTAGTTTTTGTTGAGAAAATGAATTTGTGGTTTTAAAACATACAAATGACAGTGAATGATGAAAGACATGAAAAAGGATAACTGACCATCAGAACCCTGCGTGCATAATTCCTACATCTCTGTTTCATATTTACCTAGCCAGTTGCTCGCATCTTTTTTGTGCACGGCTGTTAGGTATTCTCCAGCCTCAGTCGGTTCTGAAACAATCCAGCTAAACACTGCACCACCCTCACAGCTGTCACTGTGTTTGAGCCCTTTGTTTGCAGACACTGTCACTTCTTGAGGGTCTTTTGCTTTTTTTTCCTGTCCCTTTCTTTACCAAGCATGATATTTGTCTCCAGGAACTGGTCCCTCCTAACAACATGCTTGTGGGACAGTCGCACCAGGCTCACTTCTAAGGAGCATGCTGGTTGTACTTCTTCCAAGACAAGTTTGTTTTGGTAGCCCATGTACTTTTTATATTCTTCACCGCACTGTAATTCAAGTGCACTAATTCTTTGGTTATCTCTAGTTATTGCTCCGCTTTCACATACATATGAGGCAATTGAAAATACCCCATATGGCTTGGGTCAGGTGCATATTAGTCCTCAAAGTGACGTGATTACTTTCAACACAAAAAGAGATCTTTTGCAGATTTATCCACAGTAACACTGTCTAAGATGGTATAAAAATAAACCTCCAGGGGGGTAATGTTAAAGCTTATTTTTAGACTATGATTTGCTGAGATTAATAATACCCAGGTGGAGTTGCATACCAGATATCTTTTGGCCTTCACAAGCTTGTAAGCTTCAAAGCAAGGCAGGACTAGAGATGGGTAGATGATTCCAGTCAGGAATTGACAAGAGTTGTGTCTCTTCTGTGAGGCTTTCAGGACTGGGAAAGTGATAACACAGAAAGTGGTTGAAACAAGAGCCAGCATTTCCCCAGAGTTCACGAGTTGAAAATTTTAAAACCTTTTGAGGTTTGGCAGCCCAAGTTGTTTGGTTTTTAGACTTCACTTTGAGTGGACTGTGAGAGGCAATACAATGTCTTGTTAAGAGCATGGGGTCTAAATCCTGAGTTGGAATCTTGGCTCTGACACTTTTGGGTAGACCTAGACTTGTAATGAGCATTTTTCTTGAGTTGCTTCTGACTCATAGTGAGCCTGTATAGGGTTTCCAAGGCTGTAATGAGCATTGTTGTTAGTGCCATTGAGTTGGTTCTGACTCGCAGTGAGCCTGTATAGGGTTTCTGAGGAGCAGCTGGTGGGTTTGAACTGCTGACCTTGGGTTCAAAGTCCAGTACTGATCCTGTGGTGCCACACCAGGAGTCCATGTTGTTGTTATGTGCCGTGGAGTTGGTTCCGACTCCTATACAAGGTTTCCAAGGCTGTAAATCTCACGGAAGCAGAAAACCTCATCTGTCTTCCGCGGAACACCTGGTTGTTTCGAACTGCTGACCCTGAGGTTTGCAGCCGGATTCGTAACCACTACGCTACCAGAGTTCCTTAGATCGATCACCATTATCGTACTTAACAACAACAGCAGCAAAGTGTTGGTAACGATTTGAATTCGATCTTGGATGAAAGACAAAGGAAATGGATTACACAAGGACCAAAGGTTCATTTTAGAAAGAGAGTGGTTAAAGGGCCCTGTATAGGGGTTAGCCAAGAAAACCAAGACCACCTATTAGCTTTGAGGTTGTCCCACCAAGTGAGTCCTCCTTTTAGTCCTTCTCTGCGGTCACTGGCTTTCTTGGTTATCTCATTAAAGGCTTTGGTAACTTGACCAGATTGGTTTACGTATAAACAACATTCTTCACTTAGAAGTGCATTTGTGTAGTAATGTTGAAGTAAGGAGGTCAAGGACTCTTCTGCTTTGTCGGACGACCACTGCTACATAGTAGAGTCGAGTTACTTTAGAGTAGCAGACTTTGATCTCTTAGTGCTGTTATTTGATCTGCTACTTTTATTGATAATCGTTGGATTCCCAAGATTGATGGCTAGGGAAGGTGGGGGGCTAATCTGTTGGGTGGACAAAGGAGGAAGCAATGGATGTGGGCTTAAAGGACTGGGTGAAGGAGCAGAGGAAGTGGGTTGAGGATGATGGGGTGTTTTATTGTTGAGTTATGTGATAGTTGACATGGGAGAACATTAGTTTTACATTCATTCTATCATATATTGTTTCATTGCCATAGTTACAATCCCGTCCATGCATCATCAACCAACCAAAGGGTATACCCTACAAGCCTACCCCACCCCACCCCCACCCTGGTCATTAGCACACAGCCCCTCTCCCTTTCTGGATCTCAAGTCCCCATTCACTCTATCTCTCCGCTTCATCGCCTCTGCCTCCATCTCAGGCATCACTGCTTCTCTGGGTAGGGTCCCGCTCTTGGCTCTTCTTCATTGATGGTCCCAGGAACCTCTGCTCCTAGACTGAAAAGTTAATCACTCCCCTCCTTGCTGTAAAATGTCCACCTTTACATTTCCATCCCTCACAATCAGTCCTGATAACAACTATTCACTATTGCATCACAAGAGACCCATCTGCATTTCATTTCATCCGCCCTTCCTAGACAGGTTGGATACTACTCACTGGAGACTCTACCTTTCTCCACGTCCTCTGGATCTAGGTTCCCTCTTGAAAGCTTGTAAGCCAGTCACTTCTTGCCTTTGTAAACCCCGCCCTCCCCACCACCATTTTGGGTAGCCAATGTCCAAGTTGCCCATCCCTGTCTACTCTGTGTGTGGAGGGGGTGGGAATGATTCTTGCAGTAAGGATTTGTTTCCTCTTTTGATCTACTGCATCCATAGGTGTAGGTCAAGTTCATCAAACTGTATCAGATGACACTTTTTTTCCTCTTCTTTCTTCTTCTAGTTGAGCTCTGATCATCCAGCCATTGGAGCCAGGTCAAGTGGGTATTATCTACAAGTCCTCCACCCCCATTTTTAATGAATGAACAACTTTAAAAGATTTTTCTAAACTTGACAAGGCCAGGGCTGGGATCTTCAAGGAGAGTTTTAAGCTTGTTGAAAGCAACCTCACATTCCGAGGTTCATACTAATCGTGTCTTCTCCCTTTAGGGTCTCATATAATGGTTTTGCAATAAGACCAAAGTTAGGTGTTCAAATCCTAGAGAACCTTGTCATTCCCAGAAACTCTCTCAAGTGTCTTAGTTGAGGGGGGGACACTTAATCTAGTAGTTATTTCTTTTAGGGGCCAAGCCCTAGTTTTCTGGGACAGCATGAATTCCCAGGTAGTGTGTTTTTGCTTTAGAGATTTGGGCCCCTAATTTGAGCAGAAACTTTCTCACGATGAGGGGTGTTGTACACTCAGGCATGTAAACAAAAACAGGCCGAAAGTATTGATCATGGAAATGAAATCACAAAGGCTTAGTCAAGGGTTTGACTGCCACCCCCCAAATCCTGCACTCAGTGGCTGACAAGGGTCCAAGTAAAGCTGGCAAGGCAGAGAAGGTTGCTCTCACATCTAAATGAGAAAAGTAGTCTTGCCTTCCACCTCCACAGACACCTGAGGCTCCACAGTGATGATGATGATGATGATGATGATGATGATGATGATGATGATGATGATGATGCGTTTGTTGTCGGGAGCTGGGAGCGTGGCTGTCTAGCCTCTGGGCATCATCAATGCAGGGCTCCCTCAGCTGGAGGGGCATGGACCTATGCCACCACGAGACTCAGGGCTTTGGACAGTGGGGGTCAACGTTGTGCCCCACTGTAGGTCATTCCAGACACTCCCACACAGTTGTGACTTTGGTTAAGATCAAGATTACCTGCTTACTCGGCTATAGCCAAATGGGTTTCATCAAAGTGGGAGGGAGGTAATTAGCTGGGCGTTGGAAAGTGACTGCCAGCAGCTGAGCCTGCTTCTCAGTGATTTTGGTCCTCTGAGGCCGTCCTTAGCCTTCTTAGGGTCATTACAGCCTTGTTAGCCTCCGTCACTAGTTGAGATACAGGCGTGTTAGGTCCCAGTTCTACCTTTCTTCATTTTCTTCTAATATTTCAGGTAGGCCTGAGTCAAGAAGTGCATACTTAGGGCCTCCCTCCCTGTATCCTAGTCTGGGTCTATATTTGCATACTTCCTGAATGCCTGTTTAATTCAAGGAAGAAAGAATTCTGGGGGATTCGAGTGATGTCAAGAAACTTCTAGGGAGTGTCCAACTGAAATGGGCACTGAGGGTTTGGGTGAGCCAAATGAGTAGGGATTGATGAAGAGAGAAAACAGGGCCTAGGGTCCGCTTAGTGAGTAGAAAGAGATCAGAGTTTGCCAGGATAGCTCCGGAAACCAAGGCTCGCTCAAAAGGTGAGATGTGATGAAACATATAGCAGCCTCAGCCTCAGGACAGGTAAGACAGACAGCAGAGAGGACTTCTGGTGGGCCTTGGGGGCTTGAGGAGGGAGTAAGAAGAAACATACAAGAGGCAGAATGTAGACAGGGCGACAGGCAAGTTCATAGGAAGCCTGAAATTGGGGACCTCGGACCATTTGCCAAGGTGACAACAACAAACATCAAGTTGGAGCCCAGTTGTGATTGAGTGAGCCATTCTCCAGTCCCACTTTTTGGTCTCCCAATTTATATCGGGGCAGGCCAGTCCCAGCGCCTTCGGATTCTTAAGGAGACATCCCCAAATGGAGTCTTTTGGTTGGATCACTGAGCATTGCCCATTGATGGAAACTCTATGAAACAAAGAAAGGGCATCTCACAGATGACAACATGCCGAGAAACAAAAGATTCAGTCAGAGCGTGCCCTGCCTGAACAAGGTGAAGAGATCTGACAAGAGAGTCAGGCATCCCTGATTCTGATACCAGACTGAGACTTAAAGATCTTCCTCTAAAGTCGAGCATCCCTGAGACCAGGGCAAGACCGAATCTAGAAGGGGAAATGGTCAGGAAGTGTCCTTTGAGACTGTACCCCCAAACAAAAAGTGATAGACTCGTTTTCAGAATTTACCGACTGAGGAAGAAAGGTGAGATGATTGCTGTAGGATAAGCACTGGACTGCCAGCTACAAGGTTGGAGGTTCAAACCGACCAGCTGCTCCTTGGAAACCTTGCACAGGGTTACTATGAGTTGGAACAGACTTGATGGCACTTAGCAATAATGAAGTGTATATGTATACTTGCATATATGTTGTTGGCTGTTGGCTGTTAAAGTGCCGTCATGAATTGGTTCAGACTCATAGCGAACCTGTGTAGGGTTTCTAAAGTGTGGCTGGTGAATTTGAACTGCCAACCTTGTAGTTCAAATGGACCTTGCGGTTGAGTGCTTGTCCTGTGGTGTCAGATCAGGACTCCACATGCATATACATAGATAAACATATAGGAATGTGTATAGCATGAGAGCATATCAGACAAACCCAAAATGAGGGACATTCTATCAAATAGAGTCCTGGTGTGGCACTGTGGGTTAATGCGCCAGACTGCAAAGCCGTTTGAACTGCAAGGTCGGTGGTTCAAGCTCACCAGCTGCTCCTCAGAAACCCTATACAGGGTCACTATGGGTTGGAACCGACTCGATGGCGCATCACAACAACAACAACAACATGCCACATTAATGTCTAGCCATAGTTAAATCAAATATGCTGTATACGTAAGCAAAAAAATAAAATCAGGGTCAGAATGACAATATACAAACTGTTAATATGACATGTTATTTTCTATTTTGTAGTCTTTTGTCCCCCGTCCTCCCCCATTTAATGTCTGTTAATCTTTATATGTAAATATATTTAACAATGTAATTATGTTATCATTTTATAACATGATTTTCCTGCTTGCCATGTATCAGAATATTTAATGACTATTTAGTAACAACAACAACAACAACTTAATATTCTGTTACATGAATGTTCCAAGCTGTAATTGATTAGTTTGCTTCCTTGGATGCAGAATGCTGAATGATGTCTGAACAACTCCAATTATATCCTTTCCATTCTTTATGCCTTATACCAGTCCTAGGTCCATGAAAGTTTGTAATATGACCCCCTTTCATCTCTGAAAAGTGGGATTGAGGGAGGAGAATCTGTTTAAGGTGGGGTAAGGGGCCCAGAGTTAGGTCTAGAGCCACACTGGAGGACTGGTCAACATTCGAGTGGAAGTATTTCAGAGCCGTTCAAGGCAGAAGTTCCTCTATTCTTCATTCATGTTGGTACAGTGGGTCCTCGGGGCTTGGGAGAGATCTTGGTTTTGTCCTGACACCTATTCTTTACTGGTTTGTAGTTGTGTGTATGTATTTGTAGGAGGAGGTTTGAGTGTTAGCAGGTAGTTGCATCATAGAAATGGAGAAGAAAATAGTTCTATTAATTATAAGTCATCTTAAGAGCACTGAGGCAGAGCAGAGCATGACTTAAGGCTGCCTTTTGTTTTTTTTCTCCCCAGGAGAGGTAACCAAAGGAAGATCGATCAATGCTGTAAGTCTGAAAACATGGCCCATGTAAGTTAGTATTTCTCTTTTCTTGAAGTATGACTTTTAGGCTGTTGTGGTTAAGTGCTATAGAGTCGGTTCTACCTCTTAGCAATCCTGTATAGGGTTTCCGAGGAGGGGCTGGTGGGTTTGAACCACAGACCTCGTGGTTAGCAGTCCAGTGCTTATCTATAGCAGCACTTCAGGACTTTCAGGTTATGTGACTTTTTTTTTTTTTTTTTACTTTTCCTAAAATCGTCTATCTAAAGATCCTATATCACAGTGCCTCCCATTACAGCGAAGGTTGGTGGAGAAAAAAGTTTAGTGTTAATTTCGTATGTGTCTTTTTTTCTAAAAAGGGCTGATTTTTGGGGGACACTTGTTCATCATCTATTTCAGTATCCATGCCTCTATCAAGGTAAATGTTGGCATAGTAAAAGGGTTGGTACTCTGGAGAAATGGGTTGCTGAGTTTGAGAAGTTAGAGATGATTGTCCCATGTGACCACATGTGTGGGAAAATCTTGAAACTTCTCCATTGACTTGTGGTTTGCAGGCAGGTAAGATGGAATTCGGTTTTGAGTAGCCTCAGACTTAGTGTGTATGATGAAGCAATCTGCTTCAGGAGGCTTTTGGGCAAGGGCTGAGTGGGATTGTAGATGGTAAGAGAAAGAAGACTGCCCGTTATATTTCAGTGGTAGGTGATTGCAGATTCCTGGAATCGGGGAAGACCTTCGATTTTGACCGCCATCACCATGAGTGGGGGACCTCATTGACAGCAGCCAACAGAAACAATGAAACAATGAAATCTTATGTCAACTGTATGGACTATTGTACAACTTCCTATAAAATTATCTGTTATGGCAAGAAAAAATGCTCTTGATATCGTCAGATATCATAATGAACTTGAAGACAGATCATTCCTCAATTTTATGTAAATTATATTTTCTAAAATAGATATAGAAAACTTGAGGAGGAATAGATTTCCATTTTCCCCTGTACACCTTAAAAGATAACGATCGTGTCCTAAGAATTTAGGAAGCGCAGGTACTTAGTAGGCACTGTGCTCACTATGTACTGTTTTCTTTAATGGGGAACACATTCTTTTATCCATTCCCAGGCATGTTGGGATAAGGAAGTTGCCTCATAGCATACAAGAAGTTTACAGCAGCAGGATCCTCTAAGAATGTGTGGACTCTCTGCTTTAGTCATGTGAATTTCATTTAGAGTGCAGTCCTTCACCTCTTCTCTTTTTATCTTGAAGAGATTTCCTTAAGTTTTCCTTTAATACATGTGTTTATGGTTTCAGGGATCATTGTCATTCAGGGATGTGGCCATCAACTTCTCTCAGGAGGAGTGGGAATGCCTGGATCGTGTCCAGAGGGACTTGTACAGTGACGTGATGCTGGAGAACTATAACCATTTGATCTCACTGGGTAAGGTCATTTGTCTCAGTGTCTGCTCTCTGGACTGTCAGCTTTCCTCACTGGGAATTTCAGGGCCGTCTGTGCCCAGAAGAATAGTTTGGGATTTTTTGGGGGTTGGAAATGAAAACTGCCAGGAAGTACCTACATCATTCTCATTCTTCAGGGACCTTCCTAACACTGGTCCTCTTGGTAATTGCCTCTTTTTCCTAATGAACAAGGCCTGGATTTGAAAATTTGAACACTTATTGGAAGGTTTGATTTCGGAATTACTGCAGATGCTGTGTTGCTTTGTTGTGCTTTTGGGGTTTTTTTTCCCCCTTGACGCACTGCAAGGAGAGCAGATTCTAATTTTTCTATCAAAAGTACCTCTATGATATAATATTAATTGGGTCTGCACAATTCATTTTAAATTAAAGAGAACACATTTCATGTTCTACAGTGGGTATTCCTTTACCTGTCTGTGATAGACAGTTTCAGGCCATGAAATGGGAATTTTTCATTGAATGACTATATATACTAAGTAAGTGTCTAAGGAAGCAAGATATAACAGTAAACCTAACAGTAAACTTTATGCCTACTATGTACCAGACCATGTTGTAAGTATTTTATGTTATATGCCATGTCCTTTTCCAGTCTGGTTGATCTCACCCAATCCTCTTACCCTTTTCTGAAATCTTTTCTCAGTATAATTTCCACTTTTAGTTTGTTAATATTGTTTATTTGATTAGCAAGCATCAAGGTTCTTTTTATTCTATACCTTTAAGAAAATTCCTTTTCTTGTATAGGAAGTAGTTTCAGTTCTAAACCAGATGTGATTACCTTTCTGGAGCAAAGGAGAGAGCCCTGGATGGTCGTGAGAGAAGAATCAAGCGGACGGTACTCTGGTGAGTAAGAGGAAGGCAGATCGGGGATCCATCGGGGTCCAAAACAGCCAGATGGTCAGAGAGGAGAAGACGGATTCTCTTTTTTCATGATTGCAGGTCGCCTTCTTTTTCAGATTCTCTGGAAATAATTCCAGATTTAAACCATTCATTTAATGGGTTTGGTGCATGTGTCACAGTAAAATAAAATATTTTTGCTTTCACCTTATATTTCAGATTTGGAGGCAGATTATGGAGCCAAGAAGTTATCTCCAGAAAATATATATGAAACAAGCTTATCCTCATGGGAGATAAAGCACATAAGTATGTCTGCAGAGCTTGACATGCCCATCTTTAGAATTGATTCAAAATACAGAAGCGGGCTTGAAGAACCACAGGAATTTCTAGAGGGATATATTGGTCAGAAGATAATCAGCTATGAAACAGTGCCTGCTTACACTCATCATTCTTCTCCTATTCATGGTACAAGTACACCGTATGAATGTAAGGAATATGGGCAACTCTTTCTGCGTGGTTCAAATCATATTCCACAGCAAAGTACTCATAGCAGAGAGAAGCCCTATGAATGTAGTGAATGTGGAAAAGCCTTTAGCCTTCTCACCCACCTAAATCATCATAAGAACATTCATAGAAGTGAGAAACCATTTCAGTGTGAAGAATGTGGGAAATCCTTTAATTGTAGCTCAAACCTTGTTCAGCACCAGAATATTCATACTGGTGAGAAACTGTATGAATATAAGGAATGTGGGAAAGGCTTTCGTCGTGGCTCAAATCTTGTTCAGCATCAGAAAATTCCTTCCAATGAGAATCCCTTTATGTGTAAGGAATGTGGGAAGACCTTTAAATATCACTGCCGACTGACTGAACATAACAGAATTCATACTGGTGAGAAATCTTTTGAATGTAGAGAATGTGGAAAGGCCTTTAGTCTTCCGACACAGCTTACCCGACATCGGAATATTCATACTGGGGAGAAACCGTTTCATTGTACTGACTGTGGGAAGTCCTTTAATCGTGCCTCAAACCTTGTTCAGCATCAGAGCATTCATGCTGGAGTGAAACCATATAAATGTAAGGAATGTGGGAAAGGCTTTAGTCGTGGCTCAAATCTTACTCAGCATCAGAAAATTCATTCTAATACGAAACCCTTTATATGTAAGGAATGTGGGAAGACCTTTAAATATCACTACCGACTGACTGAACATCACAGGGTTCATGCTGGTGTGAAACCCTATGAATGTAAGCAATGTGGGAAAGGCTTTAGTCGTGGTTCAAATCTTATTCAGCATCAGAAAACTCATTCCAGTGAGAAACCCTTTATATGTAAGGAATGTGGGAAGACCTTTAAATATAATTGTCGACTGATTGAACATCACAGAATTCATACTGGTGAGAAATCTTTTGAATGTGAAGAATGTGGAAAGGCCTTTAGTCTTCTGACACAGCTTACCCGACATCGGAACATTCATACTGGGGAGAAACCGTTTCAGTGTAAAGTATGTGGGAAATCCTTTAATCGTGGCTCCAATCTTGCTCAACATCAGAGCATTCATACTGGTGAGAAGCCCTATGAATGTAAGCAATGCGGGAAGACTTTTAGACTTCATGTACTGCTTTCTCGACATCAGAAAACTCATACCGGTGAGAACCTCTTTGAATGTGAGGAATGTGAGATAGCCTTCAGACATCAGTATCAACTTATCAAACATCAACGAATTCATACTGGTGTGAAACCCTATGAATGTAAGAAACGTGGGAAGAGTTTCAGCCATAGTAGGAGTCCTGGTGTGGCGCTGTAGGATAAGCACTGGACTGCTAACTGCAGGGTCAGCAGTTCAAACCCACCAGCATAAAGACTTTTAGTTGTACCTCAAACCTTGTTCAAAATTGGAGAATTCATATTGGTAAGAAACCTTATTTATGTAAAGAATGTGGGAGAATCTTTCTGCACGTCAGAGAATCCACACTGGTGTGAAACCTTACGACTGCAACAAGTCTGGGAAGGCTTTGAGACTGTTTAGTCTTCATTGCCTATCAAAGAATTCAGACGGGTTTGCAGTCCTGTGAATGTAATGAATGTTGTAAATGGTCAGCTTATCCAACATCAGAAAATTCAGTCCTCAGAAGGCAAATGGATATAAGAAACGTTGGCAAACCTTCACTGTGTGTGAACAACTTATTCAGCATCAACAAACTCATTCTGATGAGGAGTCCTGTGAATATAAAAGGATGTCAGAAAATTTTTATCATGGCCTAAGAGTTGCTCAACATGAGAGTATTCACACTAGTGAGAAACCCTTTGTGATAGTTCAGGTCTTGTGACAACTTGTCTTGGTCAGGCTTGTCAGTAGTTTGGCAGTTAAGATGTTGCTATCCCCTCAGGATGCACCAAGATGGATGGAGATCTGCAAGGAGTACTGGGCCTACACGTGCTGAAAGGGAACAAGGACCTTTACCGAGAGCCAACAAACAGAAAACCTTCCGCAGAGCTGGAGCTCTGAATTTGAACTGTTAGCGTCCTAACATGTGAAAGAGTACATCTCTGGTTGTTAAAGCCATCCACTTGTAGTGTTTCTATTATAGTAGCATCAGAGAACTAAGACAGAATTTGGTACCAGGAGTTGGGGTGCTGCGTGAAAAAATACCTAAAATTGGAATTCGATAATGAGCCGAGGCTGATAACAGTACTAAGCAGTCTACTTTTGAAAGCTTAGAGTAACTACAAAAGACGGATGGTGGAATTAGGAATGTCAAAGGCAATTCTCATAAGGAGAGGTGTACCACCAGAGCTGGCTCAGTATGGCAGCAGCTGAACCCCTGGAGCAAGAAAGCTGAGTGCCTTTTGGCCAAGGCTTACTGATGGAGTAGAGCGCCTCTGGGTTCTTGTCAATAGAGCTGAAGAGCATTGTGGTACTTGCTTGAACAAGTCTTGAGAGCTAATGTGAATTGTACTGCTGGATTTTTAATGTGTTTGATGCCTACTATCTCTTCTTTCCCACCAGTTGCTCCTATATGTAATAGAAATGTCTGCCTCTGCCTGTTCCACCAATGTATTTGGAAGCAGATAACTTGTATTCTAGATTCTCAGATGAAAAGGAATTTTGTCCCAGGTTGAAATTAGAACTTGCAAGAGAGTTTTGGGGGAAAGGTAATGGTGTTAGTGCGCTTTCAGTTGTACGCATGTTAGGGGCATTTTTGTTCAGCGCATGGATGACTTTGATTATCTTTGTTTACGGTGCTCTTGGGTAACGCATTGGACCACAAAGTCAGTTTGAACCGCGAGGTTGGCAGTTCAAATTTACCGTCTGTTCCCTGGAAATCCCGTAGACGGTCACTATGAGTCAGAACCGACTCAGTGGCACTGAAAAACAACAACATGAATGGTTTAAGGTGACAAGGGGTGGACCACGATAGTCAGGGTTTTGTGTTCATTTGACTGGGCCAGGATTCTTAGTAGCTTGGCAGTTGAGATGTAGTAGCCCCATCCTCTCAGGATGTACCAAGATGGATGGCGAGCTTGTGACACTACGGATGCTAAAAGGAGACAAGGACCTTTCCCCAGAACCAACAAAGAGAAACCATCCCCAGGAGCCGGCAGTCTGAATTTGCCCTTCTAACCTGTGAGAGAATAAGTTTTGGGTTGTTAAAACCATCCACTTGTGGTATTTCTGTTATAGCAGCATTAGAGACCTAAGACACCCTTTGAATCTAAAGAATGTGAACAGGTTTATAGTCATGATCAACACCTCAGACTTCAGAGAGCTCCTCTGGTGAGAAAGGCTTGGAATGTAAGGAATGTAGGATAGTATTTATGGTCACAATTTACCAAAGGGAATATTTTACCAACTATGTGAATTTAATAAATTCAAACACCATGAAATTCCTGTTAAATTTCAGCATATTCAGACTAGAGGAAAGTTGTTGAGGGAACACTTGGGAAAGTTTTACCGTTGGCACATTATCTATGATCATTGTCACTCCTGTTCCTTATCGCCTGCCTGTGTGACTGTTAGGATTAGGCATTGTTTACGAGGTGGTAATAACAGTGACTACCGGATACTGCAATTATGGGAATGAATGGGCTAGAGTATATGCAAAATGCATTTTATATGCTGTTTTCTCTCTCACAATTTGGGGGTTTATCAGGAAAATGAACACGGTGCAATTCAGGATCAGAAACAATTCAGGATACAGCAGTTCTCTAGTCAGGAGCACCTCTTGTGTGTCATACTGCAGGCCCGCCTCACTCTTAACTTCTCAGCCCCGTTGCTCTGCTCAGGCAAGTGGTGTAAAGCTCCTCTAGCCCATCTGTAAACTCCCAAAGGGCACAGGCTGCAAGTTAGCCTCCTGCCCGAGGTCTGTGGCCTAGAAGCACACAGCGGAGCTGTCTTCACCCCCTGCCACTATTTTTTTAGGTAGGGTTCTCACGTACCACTCATGCTCGTCTTCCTTGATGGTCCTGGAATTGTCTCTTCCTGTGTCTGAGATGGCTCCTTTTAAGACTAGCAGGTTGGCAAAACTAACCAAGCCCAGTGTTACAGTCCGGTACACCCTATTTGCATGTTCCCCCCAAGTCATTTGGTGGGAATTAAGACTTTGGATAGAAAAGCCATCTCAAGTAAATTCAGGATAACACATACTTGGTAAAGTGGAGGGTCCACAAAAAAAGAAGAGGACACCACAGAGATGGACACAGTAGTGACAGCAGTTGGCTCAGACCCACCAAATGTGCCGACCTGCCGTGTTTCCTGCTGGTGTGCTTAGATTGCTCAGTCAGAACTGACGTGATGGCACCCAACAACAAGAACCCAAGGTTATTTTGGTAAAATACCTGCAAGGGAGCCAACTCGATGTGTGGTATAGTGCAAGCCCACAACATACATCAACTACCACCACTGATGCAACCAAGCCCACCCCAGCATCAGATCAGAGCGATGTCCCAGTCATGTGAAACTAAACATACCCTGCGTGTCAAAATTGGCACTGTCCCCCAAGGGCATTGTAGGTAATTGGCCCCTCTCCAGAAGAGATGTCATGATGCCATTTGTCATTAAACCCTATCCAGAATTTAAATCAAAAACAAAATGGTCACTTACTAAGCAGTAAGTAAAAATTTATCAATATTCATTTCCCTTCATGACCACTGTTTTCCAAATAAAATGAGGGCAATTAAATTCCACAACGATTTCTATTTAGTACCTTGTATAATACTGGGGGGAAAACCCCTATAAATTTGATAAGGCAGGAGAAAGGTGAGGCTTTCAGCTCCCTCGAAGATTCAAAGCCTTGGAAACCTCACTCAACGGCACATGATAATGACAATGTGATAAGGGGGTAGTCCTGGTGTGACTCTAGGATAAGCACTGGACCACTAACTACAAAGTTGGCAGTTCTTAGAAACCCTATACAGGGTCACTGTGAATTGACAGCACGTAACAACAGAGGCTAAGGAGCTCTGGTAGTGTAGTGGTTACGAATCGGGCTGCGAACCGCAAGGTCAGCAGTTCGAAACTACCAGCTGCTCCGTGGGAGAAAGTTGAGGCTTTCTGCTCCCATAAAGATTTACAGCCTCAGAAATCCTGTTTAGGGTTGCTATGGGTCTGAACTGACTTGACGGCACTTAACAATAACAACAACAGAAGCTATATTTTGGAATTCTGGTGTGGCGCTGCAGGATAAGCCCTGGACTGCTCACAAAAAAGTTGGCTCAAACTTACCAAGTACTTCTTGAAAACTCTCTATGGGGTCTCTATGATTCAGAATTGACTTCATGTCAATTAACAATGTGACAAGGAGTCTTAGTGGCATAAGTGTTGGACTCCATCGCAGAAGGTTAGTGGTTTGAATTGTCAGCCATTCCATGAGAAAAAGATATCCCTATCAAGTTTTACAACTTCAGAAACCCTATACAGGGTCGCTATGAGTCAGAACTGACTCCACGGGTTTTTTTGTTTTTTTTTTTAACTTTTCAATGTTAAACCACCATCACCTTGCAGTTAGCAGTCCAGCGCGTATCTGACGGTACCACACCAGGATTTATCTATAGTAACATAAATGCTGTCCATTTAATCCTTTCTAACTCTTTTATTTTGAAATTTTCATACACAAAAACTGGAAAGACTAGTAAACACCCATATTCTCCCATCTAGACCCCAAATTGTTAACAGTCTGCTATGTGTATTTTATTTATATTTTGTGTTGTATCATTGATTAATTTTAGATGTCACGGCACTTTATTCCTAATGACATCAGTATGCATCTCCTAAACAAACGAATTGCTGTCATGCTGATTGTCACATGACCTTGTGTGCTTAAGTAGAACAGGGCTCCACAGGGTTCCCATGGCTGAGTTTTCAGAAGGAAATCACCACATCTGAGGTGTTTCTAGTTGGACTTTCTAACTTTTCAGTAGCAGGTGAGCACATGAACCATTCTTAGCACACAGGGACTTCTCATATAACCATAGTGCCATGTTGTTAGTGCCGTCTGCTAAATTCTGACTCATAGTGACCCTATAAAGGGTTTCCAGGGAGTGACTGGTGAGTTTGAACCACTGCCTTTGTGCTTACCCTACAATGCCACACCAGGACTCCATCATAGTACCATTTGGTAAATTCCATCAAGTCGTTTCCAACTCATAGCGACCCTGTATAGGATTTCCAAGGAGTGCCTGGTGGGTTTGAACTGCTAACCTTGCAGTTCTAACTGACCTTTCGGTCCAGTGCTTATCCTACAGCTCCACATCATAATCTCATTGGTGTTAAGTGTCATCAAGTTGGTTCTGATGTAACAGCAACCCTGTATAGGGTTTCTGAGGAGCAGCATCTTGAGTTCAAGGCTTAAATTATTTTTCAAAACACTATTAAGTGCCCACTAGGAGTTCTGGTAGCATAGTGGTTACGAATCAGGCTGTGAACCTTAAGGTCGGCAGTTCGAAACTGCCAGCCAGTCTGTAGGAGAAAGATGAGGCTTTCTGCTCCCACAAAGATTTACAACCTCAGAAACCCTGTACAGGCTCGCTATGGGTTGGAACCAACTCGGCGGCACTTAACAATAACAACAAGGAG